TGTGAGCACTCCCGCATACCTTACAGAAATTGTAACTATGAAGGAGAGAGAAACAAAATTTAAAAGTCACCAGCTTAAAACACAGGTTTACTCATATGAGGAACTAACAGTCTAACCAACAGTAGAGTTCTCATGGGCACCAGGATACCTTTTCTCCATGGTGCCTCTAAAATAATGTGTCCATTGACAATTCTCCATCCAAATGAAATATTATTCATGACTGAGTCCAAAATAAAGATATTTTCAGATGCGCAATGCCCAAGTTTACCAGTTGCATAACATTGATGTACAAATACAAAATATGAAGGATTAAGGTGAATAACTAAATACAGAAAATAAGGCCAATCACCAATATCTTTGAAAAGAAAAAAGTAAATGAAGGCTGGGGGTAAAGAGGAAGAAGGTAGAGCAGGTGCAAGAAAGTCTCAACCACAGATGGGGAGTCCCTGAGACACCGGAGAAGTCCGAGAATTACTGTCAGGGGCCTTCAAATCCCTGCTGAGTTAAGTCATTGGTTAGAAGCAGCATGGGTAGGGGGTTGCCTTACTGGGAACTTGTCAATTGGTGTGCATTAGATTCTTAGAACATCTCCCCCTCCCACCAAAACAATGACACCTTGTCAGATCTGAATAGTGAGGTTCCGTGGTACCCACACTGCCAATGAACTTACTTTGCCAGGTAAAACTTAGAATTTGTCATTGTTCAACCCCAGGCCTGAAAAAACACAGGAATACTGTTTATTGATCCCAAATGAAGAACTTGGAGGAAGCAGTCTCAGATAGGCCAAAAGAAATGTGGAGTTTTCAAAACAGAAAAACACTTTAGGGCTAAAGAGTTCCTAATGATAGGATTGCTTTCTCCAGAAAGCTCCCCAAATTTTAAACCTGCACATACATAATAATTTTTTTTTAAAAATGATATACTATAGGGAGATACTGTTAAGACCTCTATTATATGGAGAAATTATAATGTGCATATTTCAATAAAACAAAATATTCCTAAATTTAAGAATATTTAGACAACACAATTTATAAACTTGGTTTAATGGGCTTATAAAGAATCCTCTCCTAAATAAAGTAAATTGACTTAAAAGAATAGTACCATACAGATCATATTCTCTGATTACAATACAACTAAGAAGTTGATGAAAAGAGATTTTTTTAAAAAAAAATACCATGAAAATTTTAAACCATTCATATGAATAACTGTATGACAAAGAAGAAATCACTGCAATTAAAATAGAAAAATTTAATGATAATAAAATATTACATCTGAAAATTTTTATGGGGCAGAGTGAAAAAGGGAAATTTGTAGAAAAAAGGCTAATCTTGCTAAAAAGAGGAAGTGAGAATTAATGAGCTAATCATCAAAATAAAATTATTAGTAAATAAGTAACAAAATAAACACATAAAGTAAAAGGGAGAAGCTTATAAAGAAAGAATGGATGAGTTAAATTAAGAAGATATAATAGAGAATAATGATCCCCATGGACATGACCTGAGCTCCAGAAGTTTCTGCTACTACTAAGGAGGGGAAAAGGCACAACTGGATCCAGAGGGCTGCAGCTCAGGACCCATCCTGGGTCAGGACACCTCCAGTATGTACTTTGTCCTGGGCAAATTAGTGGCCCTTGTGGTGCTGCCACCAGATGCCTCCAGTTTTCAATCACCCAAGCCTCTTGGTGATGTTCAAGTCTCCCCACGAGCTACCTCATGGGGACTCCCCCACTCTGCTCTCCTTTCCTGCCTGATGCACAGAACCTGTGAGCACAATAAAAAGGTTCTTGTTTTACATCTCCAAGTTTGGATGCTTATTATGCTGCAGAGGATAATAGGACTGTCCCTTATTTATAGAGAATTTAGGCAACACAGTCTTCATCTCTTAGATCCTTCCATGACTCACTCCAGCATTCACAAAAATGGCCCTTCTGTTTGCAACCCACTGGACTCCCAACCCCTGACTCCTCACCTACAATGACATCCTGAACTCAGCCATCTCCACCCTCCTCTATGGTTAATTAAACTTAGGGACCAGGTAAGAGGGACTGGGATGAAGGACAAGGAGATTTCATCTTACATACCCTCCAAGAGTCTGGTGAGTGCCACTTGGTATTGTCTACATGCAGGGCACTGAGCAGAGCTGCAGGTCACAAAATCACTAGGTCAAGCTTCCTGTCAATCATAAGTACAGAGAATTTTGTCCCACAGTTGGGGAAGAGCTATGCAGGTAGTTGGTAGGAGGACATCTAGAGCTGCTGCTATCACAATCTCTGTGTTTGGGCAGAAAACATGCTGGACAATCAAAGTGAACAGTACTGATAGGGCAGAAAGGCCTGTGGATCCTGGGCACAGGCAGAGGAAGCAAAGAAGCCAGAAGTGGCCTGTGCTCAGCTTACCTGTCACCCAAGAAAGAGAACACAGGAAATTGTAAGAAACAGTGAAGCTGCTCTTCTCTGGTGCCTGACTTTTCATTTTCCTGATTCTGCTATCTCCATCATTGTTCATGTCATGGATCCCCAGGAACCAAAGTCCTGACTGAAGAAACTCAAGTGGATCTGGCCTGGTGTTATGGTTCAGCTGTGGTGTCCCCCTAAAGCTCACATGTGAGACAATGCAAGAAGGTTCAGAGGAGAAATGATTGGATTGTGAGAGTAGTAAACCACTCAGTGAATTAATCCCCTGATTGGGATTGACTGAGTGGTAACTGAAGTGGTAGGATGTGGCTGGAGGAGGTGGGAATTGGACGTGGATTTGGCATGTATATTTGTATCTGGAAAGTGGAGACTGTCTATCTGCTTCCTGAT